TGAATCAACAGTTATTTCATCTGTACTGGAACCTCAGGCTACACTTCCTCCTAACAAAGATTAAACAGTCATGTTGCTACTTTCTCTCTTTCTTATGGTTTTCTTTGTGTGTCCTGCTCACTCAGCCCCATATAATAAAGCTACCAAGCTTTTCATTTACTGTCACTGCTCCGGTCAGTGTGTTGTGCTACAAGCTGGGGGGGGGTATTTCTGTGGACTTGTGCAAGGTTAGCCAGTGTTAGCCCTGAGAAGCTGCACAGGAAAGCAGGTTCTGTTCATCATGCTGCTCACAGAAGGCTATCTGTGTTTTGGCCAAATTTCTCTGTCCTGGCAGATAATTCTTGAAGTGGATGGAGAGTTATAGCTAACTGTAGCACTGTGAGCATTGGCAGTTCATCTTCCTTTTCTGGGAAATGACATGTGGATGTGACATTTGGCAATGGGAGGAAAAGGTGTGGAGGAGAGTAAGGAAGGGAAGAGTAATGCTGTTCAGAGCCTGCAAGCTTTGGAAGATAAATAATTTAGACCAGAGTTTTTAAGTAGACAGAATGAGACCGTGCTGCTACTCTCCATAATCTGATCATCTGAGTTTCTTTTAATCATTCTAGGAAATAATATGCAGATTTGGGTTTTAGCAGGACTTCCAAGTACTTGTCAAACCTAATCAATGCTTGCATTAAAAAATGTTCTTCAGAGAAACCCATTTCTGAGAGGGTTCAGGCAAAATGAGTGCTGCTTCTGCAAAAGGCCTGGCTCATCTCTGGCCCACACCAGATGGGGTACTGGAAAAATAATGTGATTATAGTGTGAAGAAGTAAGTCTGAAGGGAGAATTAAGTCACCAATTAAAATTTCAAACTTTAAAATGAACTGAAAAACAAGCTAGCTACTGGCAGTCTCCTTTATAAGTGCTCAGCAGCATGCAATGACACCTCCTTTTCTGGCTGTCTGCAAGCAGTGCCATAAATGAGCTATACACGGTGACTCTCTGCTCCCTCTTTACGCTCCTCCAGCCTTGTTGTACACACAGGGGTGAGAGTCACACTTCTGCCAACACAATTTGTTTCATTTCTCAGAGGTTCCCCATCAGAGCAAGGTGCAGGCTTAGCTATAGAGCTGCATCTGATGTGCAAGTGCTTATTTGATGTCAAGCACTAGCAGGCTGTAATAACACCTTACCTCCTGCTATCAGGCTGCACTTAGCCTCCTTCAAGAGATCAACCTTTGAACTGTTACTTGATTTTTATCTGTACAGCCACCTTGGGTAGGACTGTTATCAATGTATATAAGTAACAGCCCAGTGTACAGGGCTGTAAGGGTTTTTTAATGCTATTACTGGTAATTCCTCTGGCTGTTTGCGAATTAATTTTAATATTATTCTATATAATTACTCTATAATTTGTATTTATATATAGTTTATCTATTTTTTTTCCTGTTATTTTTATATTAGTGAAAAATGAGTATCTGTGAATGTTAGGCACGTTGGTTTAGATCTATAAAGAGCACCCCTGGTTGGGGAGGCACTGCTGTTTTCAGTAGTGTTGGTGCCTGATCTGAAGAGTGAGGTTAGACCTTCTCAAGGAGGAAATTGAGTTTGAATAGGTATTAAAAACTGAAAAAAAATGGCATAGCTTTTAAAATTTTTCTCTCTATTTCTGGACAAACTTCAAAATGAAATAAAGCCTTGGTCTGGTTTCCAGGGCAAAGGGAAGTGCCTGTTCCTGGGCTCATTGACTAGCTGAAGGGATTCACTGTAGCCTTGCTTTCTGCATAGGGGAAGCACTGGGAAGTGCAGTGCAGCCTAAAACACTCTTTAAGCTGCTCTGGCTTGCACGGGCAGATGGACTCAAACAGTCAGAGAGCACAGAAAAGGTCTTACCTTTGCTCCCCTGTGTGCCAAGGGTGGTATGCACATCAGCTGGCTCTTCCTAGGCACAGGAGCAAAGCAGCAGCAACCCTACGCCTGTCTTGCTCCATTTCAGTTCTCCCTTTTCTCCTTTGTTCTAGTTCACACTTCTTTTTCTCCACTTGGTTTGTTTCATGTAACAGTCTCTTGTCATCTCCTTTCTCCTGGGCTTTCAGTTTCCCTTGCAGGTTCATTAAAGCTGCCTGCATGAACACTGTGAGAAGGTGCAGAGATCCTGCTGACCCTTTGAATGTCCCAAGGCAGCAGCTAGGAAGAAAAGGGGAACTTGACCCTCTCCTGCAGCCTCCAAACTGCCCCAGCTATGTCCAGCAAACAGGGACTCACCTGGGCATGGCCTTGTGAGCAAGAGGTCTCAGTGCAGTACTGGGCCCTTCACAGGACAGGGCTTCTGCTGGAGTCCAGGAGGTTCAAAGACAAGGTAGTCACGTGTACCTTGGATACTATTGGGATCAATTCTTATCCCAGCATAGTGAGATGTTCTGCCACATGAAGCTAAGTACAGGTTTCTAAACATTAAGTTGCAGGACACTGCTAGCAGAAAACTGAGCATGCTGACACCCAGGGAAGAAAACCTCAGAGAGACTGTTGCCATGTGTTTGAGGCTTGGGATGATGATGTGCCAATAGCCAAACTTGAACACAACTGGGAAATTACATTTCAGCTCACTCATGGAGTGACTTAACACAGCAGCTCCCTGAGAGACAAAGAAGTCACCTTTCCTTTCTCTACCAACAGATGTGCTGGAGGGTTCTCCCCACTTTCCCTCTTCTCCCTGTCACATTCTCATTTCTCTAGTGACTGTCCTAAGGTGAAAGTAGAAGCCAGCAGTACCCCAGAGCAGCATCTGGAGCAGTACTTCCTCTAGAGGGAAGAATAGTCTCTAAAATGGGCTGAAGACTGTGAGCTGCACAGAGGCATTTAGCAGTGTAAGGTTAGAGAAGTGTTGTGCTGGACCTCTGATAGGACACTCCCAGGTTTCTTCCCCCACTCCCCTTTCCCTTTCTCCTTTCCCTTCCTCTTCCCCTTTTCTTTCCTCATCCCCTTCCCCAGTAAAGACAATGCTGAACTAAGAGTAAATGTAAGCCATGGTTTTGGAGCTGGTCTAATTTCTGATGCTCATACATTTGGTAAGGGGGGTTTGGAGGTTTTATCCATTCCTTTTATTTTCCTTCTGTTGTCTCAACGACACCACCAAAAAAACATTCAAAGCAGTGAATAACTGAGTGATATTCCAGACAGGAAGAAATTAGCTCTAATTTGTTTCAGTCAGGCTGAGGGCATAGTGCAAGTGAATTTGGTGCTTGTTTAAGGGTGGTCAGTGAGGACAGAGGCCTCTTATTCTGGCTTGCCAGCAGCAGAGATGCCCAATGTCAGGCTCTGGATACCTGTAGAGTTATGTTCAGCTCTGTGTGGGTCACTGAACAGAGGCATTGCAGAGACCTTGCTGGTGGTGGTCAGGGCTGCCTGCTCAAACAACTAAAACCTCACTTGAGCCCTGCAGAAGACACCTTTTTGGGAATAAAAAACCCCACAGCAGCCAGGTCACTGCCTAACAGCTCATCACTCCTGTCTCTTTCTCTTGTTGCTGTGGCTTCCAGGAGGCTGGGTGGCAAAAGTGTCCAGCGCTCAGCCAAAGTTCTAAGAGTGTTTTGCACTATGGCTTGACAACAGGAAGATGGTGAGATGTGTGTGTGCTGTGGGATGGGTATATTTATTTGGACAAGTTGCACTAGGTAAGTGCCACCACACCACCCACTGTACACAGTCAAATGTCCTTGGGGGAGAGTGGCTGGAGAGCTGCCTCATAGAAAAGGACCTGGGGGTATTGGCCAAGAGCCAGCTAAATGTGAGCCCAGGTGGCCAGGAAGGCCAACAGCATCCCTGCCAGTATCAGAGATAGTGTGGCCAGCAGGACTCAGGAAGTGACTGACCCCATGTATACAGCACTGCTGAAGCCAAACCTGGAATGCTGTGTTCAGGTTCTAGGTCCCTCACTACAAGAAGGACATTGAGGCACTTGAGTGTTTCCAAAAGAGAGCAACAAAGCTGGTTAAGGGCCTAAAGAGTGAGTCTTATGAGGAGCAGCTGAGGGAACTGGCCCTATTTAACCTGGAAAAAAGAAGGCTCAGGGGAGCCCTCATCACTCTCTACAGCTACCTGAAAGGAGGTTGTAGCAAGGTAGGGGTTTTATCTTCTAGAAGTAACAAGTGATAGGACAAGAGGAAATGGGCTCAAGTTGCACAGGGGTAGGTTTAGGTTGGATATTAGGAAAAATTTCGTCACCAAAAGGGTTGTTAAGCTAACAACCTTCCTGACTGCAACAGGCTGCCCAGGGAAACAGTGGAGTCACCATCAAAGGAGGTGCTGAGGGACAAGATTTAGTGTTGACCTGGTGGTGCTGGGTTAATGGTTGGACTTGATGACCCTAAAGGTCTTTTCCAGCCAAGATGATTGTATGGTTCTATGCAAGATTGTTGAGCTGGGTCCCCTAAAGTGAAAGGACAATTGAGAACATTACAATAGGCAAATATTGTAATTTTTTGGACTGTTTGGACTAGTTCTTGTTTGCTTTCCTTCCTGGAGCACTTAAGGCCCAGATTGGTGGCAGCTTCTTCTGAAAGAACAATTCTCATATATTTAGATGCTTGCTCATTTCAGCTGCAGTACAAGTTTTTCCTGTGCAGTGCTTTGATGAATTGTTTCTCTTTCCATCCCAGGAATCAGTTACTATTGTTGTGGGCTTTCCTCTTTTCATGCACTGGACCCTGACCGTTGAATTCTCCTTAAATTTCCTTGTCTCTCCTGTCTAAGCCACCAAATGCAGTTAAGAGCAATGTATCACATTTCTTCTTCCTGTTCTTTGATGGCCTTGATTACCACCTAATCTATTTCTCAGTAACCAAATTCTTTTTCCAGAAAACAGTGCTCCTCTGGCTCCTGCAGTATTCCTCACATCACCGAGGTTTATAAGGTCCCTGGTGAAGCCTTCTGTAGAAATGTCAAGTGCTGGTTGGCATTCATGAAAAACAGATTGTTCCCTAAGCCATTAAAACGATGTTCTTGCAGGAACCAAGATGTTTTCACCAAATTATGTCACCATGGAGGAAATGCTGCTGCAAGATGAGGAGCGAGGGAGCATGGAGTACCAGATCCTGCTGGCCTACGCCCGGCGGCGCCTGCCTGCCCACCAGTACAGGCAGCTGCTGAGAAACGAGGCTAACGTGCAGAAATCCTTCATCAGGAGAAAAGTCAACGTTCACCACCCATGGGATGAAGATGGACCAAGCCACATGGTCGTTTTGGAAGGTCCTGTGAGAAAACAGCACAGCAAAGAGCAACCAGAAACAACATACTTGCCAGGCTATTGCCTACCTATCCACGGCGTCAGAGTGAAGCGGCAGGGACCTGCCCTGCCACCTTCCTACAGTGTTGAGGCACAATCTAAAATCATTTCTGAAGGGGGTTCTCAGCATCAGACAAGTACGTCTTAGTTCTTTCATTTTGCTCCTTGTCTTTAATCTCTCCCTAAATGCTTAAACAGCTGGTGGTGCTGTGGAAGTCCAAGAGGAGGAAGGTGGCTCCTCTCGGGTTTTGGTCATCTCTTCACTAGCCCTACTCATTTCCAATCAGGAGGGCAGATTGTCCTATCTTCAGTAGTGCTTGCACACAAGATTCATGCTTGTGACTGGCTTTTTTGTTTTCCTTTGTATGGTGGGAAGTATCATATAATTGCACAAGTTTCTTTTTTTCCAAGCAATTGTACAGGCTGGGTTTGGTTTTTTTGAGCATCAGCTTTTGCTTTTTCATACCTGGTTGGAAAGAAAACATAAAACTCTTGTTAGACTGAAGACCTCCACACTAAAATCAAGGAAAAGAAGTTGTTTGAAGGCCCATTCCAGGAGCTTTATCATGCAATAAATTTCCACACTAAAGACAGAAGTGCTCAAATCAGCTTTAAGCCCTGGTGCTGAGCAGTTGCCAGTGACCAGCCTCAAGCACAGAGCAGCCCATGCCTCTGGGCCACCTCTCATAACCCTACCATGTATCTTAAATGGAAACAGTCTTCCAGAGCTACCTAAATCTCCTCTACAAGTTGCTGTTATATGAAATCTGAACCTGCCCTCCCATGTGTTGGAAGAAGAGGCAGTAGATGGCTGTAACCCATCCGACATGCAGGGATCCCACCCACATAAACACCCTGTACCCCAGCCCCCAGAGCCAGCACCATATCAGCTGCTGCACTCCAGGCAATGACATTGTATCTTTTTGGCTCTGGATAATAGTTAATACTTGAACTTCTCATAGAAGACTGAGAGAGGAGGATGAGGTATCCCCTTACAGTTACCATATACAGTATATGATAGATTGCCATATTGCTTTCATATACAAAAGGTAGGGGGGGTTTGTTTAATTTGTCCCATCTTGTTACTGTTGGTGTCATAATAGTTGCTTTCCCCTTTCACTGCATTTAAAGATATTTCTACAAAATTATCCATCACTGACTTCTCCAGCCTAATGCCCCATCCCTGATCAGTTTAACTGTTCTGGGCCAGCTCCTACCTACCAAGCCCATAACTCTCCTTGCTGTCTAATCCATCTCTGTCCCTTAAGAAAGGGTCCCCACCTGAGCCCAGTGCCTTTTGCTAGGGGGAAGTAACTATAAATTTCTATTGCTTGATTGCCAGGGACATATCCCTGCATCCACATATCCATTTTTATGTCCATTTTATTTTCACATTGCCAAAGAAAGCACTTGAGAGCTTGGGTACAATCATTTGATGGCCCTGCCAATGCCAACACCATGTTCCCTGCAGCATGGGTGGCAGCACAGCCTCCAGGTGAAACCTCCTTGTGCTGGGTGTTAATCTCCCCGGGCATCTTGCTTGCCTTCATCTTTGGGCTTTACCTGCCCTTCAGCAGATTGCTGAACCAGTTCCTAGAACATTAACATTATTTATCACTTATCCTGCTAGCAGCTGCCCTGCAAGCTTGGCCAGGCCATTCTAGAAAAAAAAATGGGGGTGCTCTGGTGGGTTACCCATCTAAACTGAAGGCCTGTTAAACTTAAAACCAGCTACCTAATCTTATGTTTCCAAAGACATGATGCCCTTACTAGAAGTTTAGCAGACCCCTGATAAAGCTCTGCAGGCAGAGGAGGGGGTGGAAATGCCCTGGGGTTGATTCACCAGCCTGGAAATGCAGTTTTTATTGGCTGCACTAACCCCTGCTCCCTTCACAATAATCTCTGTGGGTGAATTTTACATGTGTTATGGGTCAGGCCACTGCTGAGCTTGTCTCCATGTCTGCTGGTCACGCAGAAACTGGCACTTGGCAGTGCTGGTGAGGAGATCAAGTTTTGCATCCTGAGATCTATGAGGGGAATTGTAAGGACAGGTGCCTTTGAGATGACACAAACCTTGCAACAGCTCCTGCTGCTTTCTGTGCTGTAGCAGGATCCCTGCTGGAGTCCTCTCAATGAACGATGCTTCCAGTCAGTGGATGTCCTGAGTGTGGTCATTACCCAAGGTGGATGCAGCCAGTCTCATGCTGCTGGACAGGAGGAGTTTTTGTGCTAGAGGTGCCTCTGAAGTGAAGTCTGCTTCTGCTTTGCTCAGGATTAGCCTGTGAGAACAAGAGAAGAGCATTCACATACACCTCCTTTTCTGAATCTGCACCTACAGTTGAACTAAGCATGGGCAACACAACTAAGGTCTAAGACTCACAGTCCTGGAGAGCAGCAGCCTCATGTTTCTCAATACATGGCATGCTTCTGGCTTGCAGAGCTGTGTGCTAGTGAGCAACACTCCCTTTTGCTTCTGCAAATGGCCTCTGTACAGCCAGCTGCTGCTCAGCTACTAGAGAGGGGTTCTACTGTGTTAGTCATCTCTCCAAGTTATTACTAGCTGATTTCAAGCAGTAGCAAAGCCCCAGCATGGGGAAAGGTATTTCTTGGTATCCTCTGGGCACCTCAGCCTCAGCAGGCGTGTAAATTAATAAATCACTGAATTATTTTCTGGAAAGATGAATTGCCTTCTTTATTTCCCACCCTCCTTCCCAATCAGGTGGCCCTTCCCAGTCAGCAGATGTTGACCACATTGCAGACAAACTTGCTGAGCTTGTTGCTTCCAGATCCCAGGAATCTCCTTCAGATGTGTCACTGGAGACAAAGGACGAAGGCTCATTTGAGGACCAAGGCAATAGTGATCTTACTGATGGAGGTGAGGGCAAGGAAGATGGTAAGGGGGAAGCATTTCGTGGTCACGGGCACTCTGTCAGGTTGGGATTGCAAACTGAGGCACTTTCTCTAGACCTGGGGATACACTTGGAACTTCTGTGGTAAGATGCTGTGAAGAAAGAAGTTTGCCCTGCTGGTTCTTGCTCTGTTGCCCACATTTCATGGACCATGCTTGCAGTCCTCTACCAAGTCCTGCCTCCTACTGCAACTAAAGGGAGCATCCTTATGAATCCAAGGAGGTGTAGACATGAGGAGGATGAAGGCAGTGACTAAGGTGACAGAGCAGTGGTAGGAGTGGCAGGGCTAGGGGCAGGATACACACTGGGGCTCTAAGGTTAAACACCAGTCACTGGGGCAAAACTGTGTCAGTCAATCCCTCTTTGGTGACAGGACAACACTGCTCAACAGCCTCTGCTAGAAGTCTGAACTGCTTGTCTTCCATGGCATCTGCAGAGACTTGGTGTCACTGCAAGCTTTCTAGGTCTCTCTGGTACACAAGAGGGACGCTGCCATACTCACATTTTCTTTAATCCATCAAGAATTTGCCCTAATGTGTTGCAGAAGGTATAATTGATAATGATGAGGGGTTTTTTTCCCCCCTAATTTTAAGTTCATTTTCCTGGGCTTCTGCTAGTCACTGTTTTGTTCTGGTGTGTTATCAGACATACCTCAAACCCCAAAAGGCTGGCATTGGGATGTTAAAGCCTCTGCTCTTTCCCAGGTTCTTAACTAGGAGCAAAACGTTGGGCAGATGGAGAAACAGACTAGGAGAGTGAGCAGCAGCTTAAAGCCTGGGTGCACAACTCCGTGAGTTTGCCACAGACTGGCAGCTGGTTTTGTGATTAAATGACACAAAGGCTTTTGCTACAGTTTGCTATCTGGAGCCTACCAGAAGGATGTGATATTTATGTTACTCTTTTCTCCAACAGATATAGAAAGGATAATACAAACAATTGTTTCACTGTTAAGACAATCAGGGGACAAACTGGAAAAAAAGGTAACTTCTCCTGTTTTCAGGAGCTACACAGTCTAGAGTGTGAGGGAGAGATTAAACTTCTCTTCTGAGTGAGTGTTTTGTAACCTAGCATGCTCTGTCTCTATCCTGAACTTCCCTTTCTGCATCTGAGGCTTTCTGAAATCTCTGCCATTCACCCTGAAATCTTCCTGAAGACCAGAGGACTCGCAGAGATCTCTGCTGGGGTGGGGAAGGAAGGCCATTAAAAGGTTGTGCCTTTCAAAGAGGAGTCACTCACATCATCCCTGTTGAGTTTTGTGGGACATTGAGCATTTCACTGACTCACTGACTGATAAACTTTTGTGTTTGCATTAAATTTGACATACAAGTTGCTTTCAGCTCAGGGAGGGAAACTCTACAGCTTTAAGAGCTGGAAAGGAAAATAAATCTCTGAGTGCATTTTGAAAGCTCTGCACTAGAGCTATAGAAGAACCCACCTGTGAGTTCTCTAGTCGGAGCAGGTGTTTTTCTGTTAAAAAATATAGGTACTTTTTTCACTTTATTCTCTTCTTTAGCTGCCTCTTCTGCTCTATAAAGGTTTACTCCCACTTGAAGGACATGCTCAGCTCCTGCAGCAGAGAGGTACCTGGATACAGTGAGAAGCATCACAAAGACATGGCTGAGCAAATGGAGCTCAGCATGGCAGCTGTTCCCATGCTTCTTATAACCTTGGCCTTTAGTGTCATCCCCTACTCCTGCTGCATTCCCCTGGCTCCTCACCCCTGGGTCTCAGTAGCAATGTCACACTTTCTCTCTGCTTCTCTCATTCAAATGCAAAAAAACCATAAGAGCCACCTCCAGAGCCTGAACAAATGGATTTGCAGTGAGGTGTGGCATCATCTCTTGCATTCAACACTGTTTAGACTACACTGCATGTGTTCCCTAAAGATCCTCTCTTTTCCCATTGAGATGGGGAAAGTAATTCTGTGTGGCTCAAATTAATCAGTCCTTTCTCTTATTTTCAGATGGAGAAGGACAGGGTTTTGTGCCAGTATTTTAAAAACATGCTGTCCTACAACTTCTTCGAGAGGATCACTAATTTGTTCCTGGATGACATCTCAGCAGATTCACCAACTGAGCCAGGAGGCCAAGTACAATGCAGAAAAGTTGCCTTTACAATGGAAATTGCCACCAGGCTTAGTGCTGTGGATAACCATCCTATGAACCTGGTCTTAGGCTTTGGATTAAAGTACCTCAGAGAGCACTTCAGGCCCTGGATTCAGGCCCAGGGTGGCTGGGTATGTGTTTTGCCTCCCTGGCCTTGTGCATAGCCTAAGGCAGCCTGGAGCAGCACACTCTCACAGAACTCACACAGGCCAGATGCACACCAAACCAAACCACATATTCTGTAGCACAGCATGTGCTCCAGCTGTGGACTTGCTTGCTACAAGATGTCTTCTATGCTGCAAGCTTTTTATTTACATGGGTCAAAAAATCAACAGGAGACATTCATGGAGGGTTGTTAAGTATAAAACACTATTCCTGACACAGTCTCTCCACCACAAATAGCTGAAGGCTAGGAGAGACCCTAGGAAACTTCATGCTTGCCCCAATCCTAGACTTTTGGCAGATTCTGAGGAGAGCACAGGAGTTCAGCAGTTCATACAGTCTGTCCTTATGATGTGCTATTCTTTCACTTTCCCCATACACAAAGGCATCTGTTTATCTTCATATCCCTCTTTCAAGGTCAGTTGTCCAAGGTGCTCTTGTGCCAGCACTGGTGCTGAGCTGCTGCCCTTCCTAGCTCACTCAGCTGGACTTGCTGGGAGGTACTTGCATCAGAGGTCCCAGTTCAGCAGTTCATACAGTCTGTCCTTATGATGTGCTATTCTTTCACTTTCCCCATACACAAAGGCATCTGTTTATCTTCATATCCCTCTTTCAAGGTCAGTTGTCCAAGGTGCTCTTGTGCCAGCACTGGTGCTGAGCTGCTGCCCTTCCTAGCTCACTCAGCTGGACTTGCTGGGAGGTACTTGCATCAGAGGTCCCAGT